AGTATTCAAGTTGCTGGGCCTGTGAGTGATAAGGCAGATGCAAGCAACAGTATCTCAGGGACTGACATGAATTCATAACACTACATTCCAAGAAAGCTTGGGTAGGGGAAGAGTAAGCCTTCCTCAGAGAAGGGGATAGTCAGGAAAGCTTTGAGGAAGCTGTTTGAGTTCGGTCTGTCAAGATGAGTTTGCTAGGCAAAAAGATGAAAGAGGGACGGTCAGAGCAAGTGAGACAAACACAGCGAGTATTATGTGTGTTCAGGAAACGCCACAAGATCTCGACTGGTTGAATCAGAGAGGTGGGAGCTGGGAAGATGACCAGATGTTAGACTGGAAATAAAGATGAAGTCAAGATTGCGTTCTGCTCAAACATATGGTTATTGGGGGAAGGGAGTTTGGGATGGACAAGTACACACTGCTATATTTAAAGTGAATAACCAACAAGGTCCTACTGTATGGCACAGGGAACTCTGCTCAATGTTAGTTGGCAGCTTGGATGGTGGGGGGTGGGGGCGTTTAGAGGAGAATGGATGCATATATATGTGTGACTGAGTCATTCTGTTGTGCACCTGAAATTATCACAACATTGTTAATCAGCTATACACTAATGTAAAATTTAAAAAAATTAATAAAGGAGTACATTCTCCTTTCTCCCGTTTTTGTGTCTTATGTAAAGTTCAGAGCCATCTTGTATACCTGTCAGGGGCTTAGTACTTAGACGGGGGGAATGTCACCCATGCCTTCATCTCCGTGCTATGCTTAGTCGCTCAGTCATTTCCCACTCTCAGCAGCCCCACTTACAAAGTATGAGCTTTAGTCCATATTTTCCAGTTCTATCACATTGTTGGGTCTAACGGTGAATGAAAAAGAAGAGAGAGGGGAAGGGACAGCTTGGGACTTGGAGAAAAGAGGCTGTCATCCAGTCTTGTTGAGGCATACTCAACAGTTCCTCTAGCCTTGAGGGCTATCTGGTGATGACCTGTAATCCCTTTGGTCCCAAGCCTTCTAAGTAAAATATTTTGGAGGAGGGGTTTGGGAATCTGAGTGTGAATGACAGTAGGGGTGGATGAGTGACAGTGACGGAAAAATCCCATTAACTGAATTAAAAGCTGGCAGATTAGCTTTTAACTATGTTTTTAGCTTGCCTAGTTTTAGCAGGCAAGCAAAACATAGAAATAATATTCCTGTACCTTTTAAAACATTTTTTTTTCTAGTCTTCAGTTTGTCCAGCTACAAGTAGGGCAGGCAGTCTTGTGGGGTTTCCAGGTATAAAATCCTAGCATGCATTTTGTGATGGTGCCAGTGCACAGTTATGAAAGAAAAAAAGAAAAACAGTTTCTATTCTGTCCTGAATGCCAAGAAGATATCACTTCTAAGCTGCATGTCAGAGTTAGATATTTATTGGCTAAAACATCTGTCCTAATTCTTCAGTTTCCTGGCTCCTGTTGTAATTTCAACATACAGGGGATTTCCCCTGGCCCTTTCTTGAACATTAATTTTTTTTTTGGCTTGTATTTCAGAGGCCAAACTCAGCCCCTTAGATAAATATTCAGGCAACTGTTTAAAATAAGTCCTGTATTATTTATTTATCACATCTGTTAAGAAAGCTGCAAGGATAAAGTAAGAGTGAAAACTGTGTGTTTTGTCAGAATATGAATCTTGCAAGAGTATGTTCAACTGCTGCTCCATCTACACAATGAGTGTTTTTAGATTCAGTTACCCTCATGGCAAAGAATGAATAAATCACTTAGATGCCCATGTTTAGGGTCTGTATGGTCAGTACACACACACACACACACACACACACACACACACACACACAGAGGCACACACTCTTTGAAGGCTGTGCATGCATTATATTGTGTCCTACTCATTTTTATTCTTGAACTTTTCTTAGAAACAAGTTTTAAGTCCACAGGAATACTCATTTATATATTTTATTTTCTATTACATTTACTTTCTTTAAGATTCTGCACTTATTTTATTAGAAGTAAATAATTACAGGGAAACCAGTTTGGCCCAGAGAAATAGGATCAAGTTCAGAAAGAGGAACTGGGGAGGAAAATGACTCTGTAGTAAAGGAATTCTCATGATGCTTCACTTGGGTCTGGGCTGGAACGTAAGATGAAGTAAAACAGAATTGAGTTAAAGGGAATTGAATCATGTTGAGGAAAAACTTCACAGTATTTCTTGAGGCTGTTTCAGTTTTATTGTCATTCCCTCAACTGAAATCCCAGGCTATGTGTCGACGACTCTTTCTTTTGGAAACACTGTGTGTAAATACATGTGACTCACTGTTACCACAATGCGGTAGTGAATTTAAACAACCATACAGCATGTTCACTGACACCGACATAGGTATCACAATACCCTGTGGTTTCCCAGGTCAGAAACAAATAGAGCACGTTGTGATTTAGATACCTGTTATCCCCAGGAAGTGACAGCTGATTGTATACTGCTTATTGTAGCAGTCAGAACATAAAAGACATAAGGTTTTGATTACACCCACACTGATTCAGTAATTGTTTTTTTGATCCTGCTCTGCATTGAAGTTTACCTTTGAAACACTTATGAATAAAATCATTTCCTGAGAAAATTGGTAAATGTGTTTTGATGTCCAGTAGGCCAGGAGCATTCTGATGCTTTTTACAAATTCCCTGAAACCCATGTGCTACATTTTAGTTGTCTTTTTAAACTACCTTTAGGTTTGTATTTTTTAGGTGGTGATACTAATTTAAGAATGTGAAAGTAGTAAAACGTATTTGTTAATGTGCACTTTTCTTTTGGCTGGGCTCACATTCCATCCATTTGGCTCTGTTCAGTTGGGATTATATATCGTATCCACCACCTTCCTCTCGTCTCTCCAGTTTGTCATACTTCCTATTGACTCCAGAATATTGAAAAAAATAAGCCATCCATGTAATCAGTATAAAAATTAATTTATCTTTAGAATATAAGCTGATGGTTATTTCTCATATTCCTTGATAAGTAAGCTTTGGCAAAGAGGTACAAATAAGTGATGATTTTAAGAAGAGAAGCCAGGAAGCCATAGTTTATGTAAGCAGTATTATAAAATGTTTCTTTACTGGAACATTTAGATTGTTTTAAACAAAAAATGTCATAGTGTATCAAAGAGAAAAAAGTCACCTGATCTTTAACTCAGGCATTACTCTCCCTGGATATCTGGGCACATCCTTTTGTTACTTTGACCTTAATGTTTTCTGGGCCAGTTGACCTCAGTTTTTTCTTATCAGAGCTCAACATCTTGTTCCTTGTGGCCTTATTAACTTCCTGTTTCAGGTCTTCCAACATGATGCAACATGTTCTTTAGACATCAAATTTTCTGTATCAGTTCTTGGCTTTGAAGCTAGATATTCTAAATGGAAGATTATGGACCTGGCCTTGGACCCCAGCTCTGCTGGTCTACTGGCTGTGACCGTGGGCACATGAATGACCATTTCTGAGCTGTATTTTTCTCTCTCCAATGTGGAGATGACACTTTTTCTGTCTCACAAGGAAGCTGTGAGGATGAAATGAGGTCACGTATGTCAGATGCCTGGCATTAATAACTAAGTTATTTTCTAGAATGTGTTCATTTTGTCGTCCTAATTGCTTTCTGTCATTAAAACTCAATTCACTCTTTTGCCTGGGCATCCGTTTTCATGGGTACATTTTCCATTTCTAGTCAGTGTGAGCTTTAGTCTTTCCGAAGCAGTGCTATCAACACTGCCACATGCATATGTCTCCATTTTTTTGTTTGTTTGTTTTAAATTTTATTGGAGTAAAATTACTCTACAATGTGACTAGAATCATATTTGACTCATCCACCCACCTTTCACAGTCAGGTCAGAATTGTCCCGAGCTCCTGTTCCTTGGAAATTTTTCTTAGATTAGTGTTAACCCTGGTGCCCTTAAGAAGGCTTATTTTAAGCATTTACAATATGTTCTCAAGTTATTTTCTTCCATATGACTTCCTCTTGCCTCCTGCCTTTGACATATGCCTCCATTTGCCACTAATCACAGTGCTTCCTCATGTGGGTTTTCCACATAAGTTCGCCCTCCCCTGGAGTACAGAGAAAAGGCCTTCTGTCTCTGCTGCTGCCACAGTCACATCGGTGTGAAACCCAGTCTCTCAGGCAGAGTGTCTGAGGAGGACGGAAAGACGCGTTGGGACTCCAGCAGAGGTGTTCCAGAGCAGAGATGACAGTGAATGTGACCTCCAGAGATGCGGCACCTGGAAGGCTTGACTGTAGTAAAAATGGGTAGATTATGTTGTAATCTGCAGAGTCCATGATTTTCTTAAAAATAGTTACCTTCAGTTGACACTCAGCATCTCACATTTCGTTTTCCCTTCATGCTATGCACTTTGGCCCAGAGAAGAGGATATACACACACCCCAGTGTATAGACTCTATAGACGGAGGGCTTTTAAGGGAAGATTCATGGTACCTCTGAGGTTGAAAAGTGAAAGTGTTAGTCGGTTAGTTGTATCTGACTCTCTGCAACCCCATGGACTGTAGCCCACCAGGCTCCTCTGTACATGGATTCTCCAGGCAAGAGTACTGGAGGGGGTAGCCATTCCCTTCTCCAGGGGATTCTGAGGTTGGTAGATTGAAAACAATTTCATTAATGTAGAGTCTTTCTTCAAGATGTTATGAATTGCCCGATCTGCCTGCTCACCTCCAGAAAGTACCTACTGACTCCCACCTCTTGAGACAGATACCGTTCTCTTTTTTATGTCTGTACAGAAGCCCAGAACATTGAAATTATCATCAATTGGTGGGTAAGGAAACTGAGGCTTAGAGAGGTTCAGTGTAACTGTGGCCACAGAGTTATTAAATGATCCATTCTTTCAAATTGAGATGCTCATCTTTATACTGTGCTATTTTGCCTTATTTTAGGTATCCATTTTCAATTGGAGAAAAGTTCCAAGTGAGCTAATTACAGTGGATATAAAAAAAGGAATTCAAATTAGTAATATCATTATCTCTCTGTTTCTAGTGTGTGCGAAGCAGGTAACTGATGAGGCGTCTTCCACCCGAGATTCAAGCCTTCCTAACACAGCAGTGCAGAGCAAGTTAGTGTCTTCCTTTCAGCAACACACCAAAAAGGCTCTCAAACAGGTAAGGTCGCTGGCATTTCTTCTTTGTCTCAGTCCTGCCTAGTTAAGATAGAAGGCTATGCATAAAAAGCAGAATAAATAAGAATGTAGTAATCCGAAGGCAGCAGAGATGCCTTAGATTCAGCCACCCCCTACTATCCAGTACGCTGACTTTATGCTGCAGACTACGAGAGGCTTGGCTGAGAACTTTGATGTAAAATAGAAGAGGGAAAGTGTGTTTGGAAACATACAAAACTTAAGAGTGTGTGTGTGTGTGTGTGATTTAGAGCAAATATATTGCTTGTTCATATACATATTTTAAAAATACTGTCTCTACTTATGGTCTCATGTTTATCTGATAGTTGACGTCAAAAAGAAATGTTAATTTCTTTCTTGTTACCGAAATGCATTGTTATAAATAAGAAAAATAGCAGTTGTGGCTTCCCTGTATCTTGACTATCCATCAGTGTGTTTGGTGGTGAATAGTATCATCCCCACATTACATAAGCAGTCTTGACCTGTGTGTCCTTGTCCAGAGATGGTGGTGAAAAGTGTGGTTTTAACAGTGGACTCGAGAAAGAAAGAAAGTGCTCAGTCGTATCCAACTCTTTGCAACCCCATGGACTGTAGCCTGCCAGGCTCCTCTGGCCATGGATTTTTCCTGGCAAGAATACTGGAGTGGGTAGCCATTCCCTTCTCTAGGGAATCTTCCTGACCCAGGGATTGACCCTGGGTCTCCTCCATTGCAATTGGATTCTTTACCCCTCAGACATAACCTGGTTTCAACCCTTGCTACTCACTGTGTGACGCTGGGTGAGCCATGTTTCTTCTCTGAATCTTAAACTCCTCCTCTAGAAGATGTAGAAAATAAAGGTACCCTTCACCTGGGAATGATCCAAGAATTAAGCGAGGTGATAAGCTGAAAGGAGGTGGTAAAGTGAATGTGTAGCCCATAATAATCACTCAGTAAATGTTAGCTACAGCCGCCACCCCAGAAATGCTGCATGTGTCCAAAAGAAAAGAGAGATGCTGTGGGCAGAGGGGAACAGTGCATGATTATATTACTACTAATGTCAGTAAATGCAGAGCTCACATAAATGCAGAGCTCAATATTTAGCCCTGAATTCATGGTTTTCCTTTGTTTAACTACTTTCCTGATTTTTTATTTTCATCATTTTGTGACAGCCACCTCCACCTCACCCCTTGCTGACCCTTACCAAGTCTAGTAATAGAGGTGTCATTCTAAAGGATAGATTTATAAGGAAAAAGAGGCCATGTTTTTAAATAAAGTTAGAAACATTTTTAAAGTCTCACAAGCATATAAACCTACTTAATATTCACATCCAATCTCTTGAAGTTAGAATGTCTCCACCTGCTCCTCTATTTCAAACTAGGAAACTTTAAGAAAGAAACAACATTTTTATACTGCATTCTGTTACTTTTTAATTCTGTATTAGCTACTGAAATCACAGTATCTCCCTTCACTGGTATTATATTTAAGGTAGTAACAGTGTTTCATCCTACAGAGGTCAAATCTTGAGCTCGCCATTTGTGTCCTTGCTCTTGTGAAATGTTTTAGATGCCAGAGAACAAAATTAAATTCAGTGTGGAGATCCCTTTTTCCCTGATGAAATAAAGTAGGGATGATGATAGGGAAGCCTGGGGAAAAGACTGATTCAAGTGGGAAACTGGATGCAGGTACTAAGATACCAACCAGGATGGAACAAAAGATGCAAAACTGGGTACTGCTAACTTGAGCGTTTAAGAAGCATAGATGCAAACATAAATGAAACTCATATTTCTGAAGAACAATGATTTAGAAACTATGTACACTGTGAATTCATCCTCCGTGTGAATGGAAAGCTATTCATTCACATCTCTTTATTGTCATGTCACATTATTTTTAACTTTCTTCATGTTTGTTTCATATCCTTTGAACTTTTTTTAACAATTACTAAAACATGACACAGTTTTGAGTTCCTGGGTATTTTTTGTTTCTTTGTTTCATTTTTTTGTAGATCATGTGTCCATGGGAAGTACCACTTGCTTGATTAACATCTAAACCTTACTTTAAGAAGCCAGCCCTGTAAGCTGCTTAATGTCCTGAGAGAGCTATTTGTTAATGCCTTAGAACTTCCTGTTTTATAAAGTTAAATTAAAGTGAAAGTTAAGTCACTCAGTCGTGTCCGACTCTTTGCGACCCCGTGGACTGTAGCCCACCAGGCTCCTCTGTCCATGGGATTCTCCAGGCAAGAATACTGGAGTGGGTTGCCATTTCCTTCTACAGGGGAATCTTCCCGACCCAGGGATCAAACCTGGGTCTCCCGCATTGCAGCCAGACGCTTTAACCTTTGAGCCTATTAGTCACCCGGACAGTGTGGCAAAATATATTGCAGATATGCTAATGTTTGATTAATATTCAAGTTTGTATTGAAAATACATTTAGAAGAAAAGCTGTTCTCGTAGAATTTTGTCAGATTCCTTGTAATTGCTGAGTTTCTTAAGGCAGCATTTCAAAAATTGACTGAACATGCAGCATTTTGAATTGCAGCAGCCTCAGCAGATCTGCAGCTTTCTTTTTGATAGTTGAATGGCCATGACCATGTAGAATTCTTTGTAAGTGTATATACTGTTATATATATATGTATGTGTTCTGTGATTGTGAATATGTTTTGTGTATACACATAAAACATAATCTTACAGCATGAATCATAATCTTAAGAACCTAGGGCCAGCCGAATAACCCTAATAATAATTATATTAGCTTGTCATTTATTTTTATGCTCTGCATTTAACAGGCACTATGCCATTTAATCCTCACACAAATCTTTTAAAGTAATCCTTTAAAATATGTTTCAAATGAGGAAGCTACAGCCCAGAGGAACTAGAAAACTTACCCAAGACTGTCCAGTGAGTACATCTTGAAGATGACATTTGAACCCAGAATCATAGTTTCAGATTCTGCCCTCTCAACTATTAGTTCCTTTTAGAATATGCTTCCTAGGTGCATCAGTGGTAAAGAATCCCTCTGCAGTACAGGAGATGTGGGTTCGATCCCTGGGTCAGAAAGATTCCCCTGGAGAAGAACATGGCAACCCACTCCAGTATCATTGCCTGAAGAATCCCATGGGCAGTCCCGGGGGTTGCAAAAGTCAGACACAACTTAGCAACTAAAAACAACAACGGGAGTGTAATAGGGTACATGGATTTTTGACATTATCCAAGGAAACCTGCATTCCCAAATATTTGTACAATGTAAGGAAAGCATAGTCATTAAGAATATTATTTCTGGGCTTCTCTGACAGTCCAGTGGTTAAGACTCAATCTCCCAATGCAGGAGGCATGCATTCAGTTCCTGGTCTAGAAACTAAGATCCCTCATGCTGCACAGCGCAGCCAAAATAAGATAATTTTTTTCAAAAAAGAATATTATTTCCTAACAAAGACTGCTTGTGTTCAGTATCAGCACATATTAAAGGTAGATAGTTAAATATAGTAGCTTTTATCATTTTACCAGGAGTATATTTTGAGTCAGTAGGGCTTTTGTATTTCAGCTCTATATTGCTCAGTGTAGGTTCTTAGAAAAAGAAGGTGAAAAAAAATCCAGTTGCTTTTTACACGTAAGTATAGTGAAGAAATGGCTTCCCTGGTAGCTCAACTGGTGAAGAATCCGCCTGATAGATAGGAGACCCCAGTTCAGTTCCTGGGTTGGGAACTCTGAGCCTGTGCTCTAGAGTCCATGTGCCACAACCTCTGAAGCCCGAGAGCTGTAAACTCGTCCTCGGCAACAAGGGAAGCCACTGCATCTAGAGAAAAGCCCACGCAGCAATGAAGATGCCCAGCACAGTCAATAATAAATAAAAAAATTTTTTTAATTGCTTCTTCTAAAACAAACCTCATGCCAAACAAGCCAGATAAAATTCGCCAGCTCTGAAACCCCCACCCCCACCCAAAGCATGTTGCCACCGTGAGTGAGTACTTAACTGTGCACTGCTCTTGACTTCAGTGTAATTATAGGCTGGACATTGTGAAAGCTAGAATGCCCCTTGTCTGTTGATGTAGGGTATTTTCATTGCTCCTAATGTTTGGGTCCCTTTAACTTTCTAATCATCGGAACATTAGTTCATATCATATGTGGAGTTTAACTGTGTGAATAATGTGTTGTTATTTCAGTAGTTATTTTTCTGAATAGCATCTTCAAAATAATAATCAGAAGCCTCTGGAGAATAGCAGATTGCTGATGATTACCTTGTTCCCTGTCTTCTTTCTGCCTTGATATTTTAGCTGTAATGATCCTAAAAGGTGTGAAATGATTATATTTTGAATTTCAAGGAAGAATAATTAAGGAAGATTAAATTTTGGAAGTTGCTAAACAGCAGAATCAAAGGCAAGATTAAAAAAAGATGAGCTGTGTTACAAGGGGAGGTAACATGACGGACAATAGAACCTTTCCGTCTTGTTCCTGTTGGTTTCTTTGACCTTCTTCATTATTTATTTAGGATGGTAGAATTTATTCATAAAGTTGCAGATCCTTTTCCCTCTTTGTATCACAAAGTAGACATATTCCTGGTATTTTGCTTTCACTTTATATGTTTGACCAATACTGTGAAATTCCAAAGGTTGTGTTGCCTGATAGCAGTTTCTGAACGTGGGTGTTGACATTTAGCGTACCAGCAACAATGCCCGTTGGTGGTGCCTAACACAGCCAGCTGTTTCATATGTGTGTATTTCTCATTATTTCAGCATTCGCAGCATGTGCTGTTTTCAGATTTTTCAGTGAAGGGCTTACCGCATCCAGTGCATTCTTAAATTCCACTGTTGCTCTTCTTTCTCTGTGAAAACAAAAAAAGGTATTGCTTCTTTATGTAAATCCCAAGTTAACATAAAAGTCTCTGACTTTAGAATTTACTTTATTTTTCATTGAGGTGGAAATGAGAATTGTTCCATACTTTTAAGAGTTTTCCCAAGCTTTTTTCTTTTAAAATAAAATGTTTATCTAAAGATTTTCTGTCTCTTTTTACAA